TAGGGGGGGCATAGGGGGGTTATAGGGGTTTAAGGAGCGATTATGAGGGTGTTGGGGGGCGGTATGAGGCTGTTGGGGGATGTAGGGGGGGGCTATGGGCATGTTGATGGGGTTATTTGGGGTTCTGGTCCTTCTGGACCCAAAGGAATATATATGATGAGTCGGTGAAACTCCGACGAAACAGTTTGTCACAGCCCCTCGTTTGTTGTCCTCTTCTCTCTCTCTGCCTATGGTTTACCGGGCAGTTCTGTTTGTGACGATATATATAGTCAAACAGATATATATTGTCAAACAATATATATTATCACATTGTGAATCAGAGCGCGAAGGCAAAAAAAAAGAAAAGAAAAGAAAAGAAAAGAAAAAAAAGCAAAAAAGGGAAAGGAAAAGAAGGAAGGAAGGAAAACCCCACCTGTTCATCACCTCTTACGTACAAGGCCAGCCACGTGGATGACAGGTTGAGCGCTGGCTGCCCCCATCCCCGTGTGTCACAAGGACCCACTTGCACGCTGCCAAAAGGCAAAGAGGTAAAGAAAAGGAGGAGGAAACCAGACCTCACAGAGGCAAGAGAAAGAGAAAGGGATCCAATCACAGAAAAGACAAGGGAAGAAAGCAAATGACACATCCCACAGATAAACCAATTGCCACTGTCACTACAAGGTTCAACAAATTCTTTCTTTTTTCTTGCTTTCTTTTTCTTTTCTTCAGAAACTTGTACTTCTTTTCTTTTTTTCTTTTTTTTTTCTTTTTTGTTTCAATTTTTTCTTTCTTCTTTCTTCAACTCCACATCTGTTGCTCCTGATCGCTTGATTCTATTGATCAGTCAGGAAGAGGAGCCCCCACCCCGGCAGATAGGACAGGCACGCTGGGGATGACGTGGATGTTCACAAGGATACCCAAGGAGAGCTACTTCGGCACAGCATTCAGCAGGACGGCTAGCACGGACCATCCCATTAAAACAGTCCTGAGGACATGCTGTCCACATGTCAAAAAAACAGCAGGACGCTCATCACAGTGCGGCATCATGCAGTCCTGATAGCGTCCTTGAGCACAAAAGGGACAACAAATATCTGGGTGATAGGGATGTGTACGAGGAAATGTTGGACACCCTTCGCCACAGACGGCGGCGGCTGCAATAGATTGATAATGTTGATGGCATAGGTGATGAATTCTGCACGCAGCCAAGACGCACCGCGTCCCTGTCCCGACAGGTGTCACACGAGAGTCGATCAATAATCCAGAATAAAGTATGATTCGGCAATGCACACAGAAATTCATTTCTGTTGAAAATAGCCTGAATCATTATCCCACCATCCCACAGTTCCCACTGGGCAGCTGCACGAATGAGTGCCATATAATCCCCGGGTCTGTGCAAAATACAGGCAGAAATGTGAGGATGGTCATTAAGGTCATCGCCTGGCGTCGCATGATGCATAAGAAGGTGGCGACCGTGGAATGCTAGCTGTAAGACATTTACAGTAAAGCCTCCTGAGGTAGTACAATTACTACCTTCAGGAGGTGGACCATTATGGTCATACAACAACTGATTTTCAACAGCGTCAAGCTGATAGGCAATCGTGACAAAATGGGACGCAGTATAACATTGATGCTGATAAGCCTGTAGGCAGACATTTGTGGCTGTCAAGCCACAAGTATTTGGTAGATCTGCCCGCAGATCCGATTCCGTCACCACTGGAAAGCTAGGTCTGATCTGGCGGGGTTGGTGCATGAATGACGAACGCCGTCGACGTGGGAGAGCAGGCTGTCGGTAAGACAAAGGACCCCGCAGATTATCATCAACACAACGTCGAGAGGAAGGGGGACTGGGAGGAGGAGAGAATGAACAAACCTGCCGACGTCCCAATATGGGCAACAAAGACAAAGGAGGGGCCGATCTCAGCCGGCGTGGGGGGGCAAATGAAGAAGAAGAAGAAGAAGACGGAGAGGAAGAAGAAGAAGAGGGAGAAGACGACAAAGAAATGGATGATGGAGTAGAAGAAGGGGAAGTAGAAGAAGAAGAGGAGGAGGAGGAAGAAGAAGAAGAAGAAGAAGAAGAAGAAGAAGAAGAAGAAGAAGAAGAAGAAGAAGAAGAAGAAGAAGAAGAAGAAGAAGAAGAAGA